TTATGGTCATCCATAGAGGTTTGGTAGAGTGGTAGCAGAAAAAAAAATCCTCACTGGAGTGGGTTAAACAGAATGGGGGAAAAAAATTGGAGAAAGTGAGGATAGATGACTTTGCAGTTTTGCTTTAAGGGGAAGAGAGAAATAAAGACAACTGCAAGAGAAGTGGAATCTAGGTTTTTTTGTTAATATTGGAGAAATTATGACATATATGAATGCTGATAAATGATCCAGAAGAGGGGGAAAAGATGATACTTCAAGAGAAAGAAGGTGAGGAAGGGAGTTTCTGGAGAAATGATCAGCCAGGAGATGGGTTCCAGGGCATGGAGGGAGCTATTGGTCTTTCTAGGGTCATATGTAGTTCATGCTCCTTACTATACAAAGGGGAGAGTTTATGCATTTATATACAAATGATTTTTTTACTTACAAGAGGGCATTGGGACAGATAACTGTAAGCAATTTTTAGCCACTAAAAAACCACACCACTAGAATCCCATGGAGGAGGGGAGAGGGCAGCATTGATTAGAAAATATAGCAATGGGAGGATCCAAGATGGCCAAATTGGAACGGCTCTGAAGTGCAATTCCCAGCAAGAACAATGCAGAGGGTGAGTGCTCACTGCATTTAAAAACAAGTTTTCACTGCCCACAAACCATAAGGTTCCTGGGCCGAAGAGCGCCATGAGTTTTCAGCACAGCTGGTGCTGTGGGTTGGTGCACAGAAACTCACACAAATCTGTGCGGCTGTTTCAACTGGCACCTGGAATGCCTGGGAGACAGAGCCACCCATTCAACTGAAAGGGAGGGGGCTGAGACAGGGAGCCAGGTGATCTGGCTCGGAGGATACCACCCCAAGGAAACAAGCAATCTGAAAGGCTCTGGATTGAGAGCTTCACAGCAAGCACAGCTGGACCTCAGACAGTCTAGCTCAGTGGGGGAAAGGGCATCTGCCACTACCAAGGCAGTCCACCACTACCAAGGCAGTCCACCAATACCAAGGCAGTTCACACAGCAGCTGGGCAGAGCCTGCAGCAGCTCAGCAATGCCTCTGCTGGCAGACTGTGACTAGACTACTCAGTGAGGGGCAGGGCATCTAAGAAAAAATGCAGCAGCACGTCAGGAACTTATAAATAAAGCTGACATTCCCAGGTCAGAGCACCTGGGAAAAGAGGCAGTTATGAGTTCAGCTGCAGCAGACTTAAAGGTACTTGCCCAGCAGTGCTGCATGGAACAATGGAGCTCCCAGAACAGTACTTGAGCTCCTATAAGGGACAGACTGTCTCCTCAAGCAGTTCCCAGACCCCATTACACCCAAAAAGACATCTCAAAAAGGAGAGCTGAGGCCGATATCTGATGGTACCCTTCTGGGATGAATATAACTGAAGAAGAAACCAGTAGCAACCCTTACTGTTCTGTAGCCCCCATGGGTGATGCCCAGGCAAGCAGGGTCTGGAGTGGACCTCCAGCAGTCCTGCAGCAGAGGGGCCTGACTGTTAGAAGGAAAACTAACAAAACATAAAGAAATAGCTTCAACATCAACAAAAAGACGTCCACTCAGAGACCCCATCCAAAAGTTCCCAATTACAAAGACCACAAGTAGATAAAGCCACTAAGATGGGAAGAAACCAGCACAAAAAGGATGAAAACACCAAAACCAGAATGACTCTCCTCCTCCAAGGGATCACAACTCCTCAACAGCTAGGGATTAAAGATGAATGGAGAATTAATCAGACACTCTTCAAAGAAGACATATGAGGCCAACAAACATGAAAAAATGCTCATCAGCACTTGTCATTAGAGAACTGCAAATCAAAAACACATTGAGATACCACCTCATGCCAGTTAGAATGGTGATTATTAAAAAATCTGGAGACAATAGATGCTGGAGAGGATGTGGAGAAATAGGAACGCTTTTACACTGTTGATGGAAGTGTAAACTAGTTCAGCTATTGTGGAAGACAGTGTGGCGCTTCCTCAAGGCCCTAGAAATAGAAATTCCATTTGACCCAGCAATCCCATTACTGGGTATATACCCAAAGGATTATAAATCGTTCTATTATAAAGACACATGCACATTTATGTTCATAGTGGCACTATTTACAATAGCAAAGTCGTGGATCCAACCCAAATGCCCAACAATGATAGACCAGACAAGGAAAATGTGGCACATATACACCATGGAATACTAGGCAGCCATAAAAAATGATGAGTTCATTTCCTTTGTAGGAACATGGATGAATCTGGAAACCATCATTCTCAGCAAACTGACACAAGAACAGAAAATCAAGCACCTCATGTTCTCACTCATAGGCAGGTGTTGGACAATGAGAACACAGGGACACAGGGAGGGGAGCAGCACACACTGGGGTCTGTTGGGAAGGGGCAAGGGAGGTACAGCTGGGGTGTGGGGAGGCTGGGGAGGGACAATATGGGGAGAAATGCCAGATGTAGGTGATGGGGAGATGGAGGCAGCAAACCACATTGCCATGTGTACTTAACAATCCTGCATGATCTACACATGTACCCCAGAACCTAAAGTACAATAAGAAAAAAAAAAGAAAATAGAGCAATGATGCAATTTGAAATCCAGAGACATAAATAAGTCTAGGATATAAAGCCTTCTGGCTCTCCATTAATCTCTTCCTACTGCCTTAATATAAGCTGTGGAACCAAAGCATTTCCTTATGCTAGGTAGCCTATTTTAGCCTATTTTCAACCATACACACAAGAGACAGGTTGTGACAAAGTACATAGTACTGCTGGGTAGTCCTTCCCTAAATACTTGCTGAAAGAATGGACACGGGAATGCAAAGGAATAAATGAATGGCAATCTTGTCCTTTATGCTGACATCAAGCTACAGAGATAGGCAATTTCTCAGTATATCTGTGTGCCTTAGCAAAATATTGAATGTAAAATACACACACATATATATGATGCAAAATAGTTGAAGAATCACAGGTTTTGGAGTTGAACAGATATGTTTGACTCGCAGATTTGCATCTCAGTTAGATGGCTTCTTAAGCTTTATGAGCCTCATCTATAAAATGGGAGTGGCAGTACCTCCTAACTTAGAGTTGTTCTGGAAGTAAAATCTAACAAGAATATCACAGAATATTCTAGTACAGTTCTTGGTACATATTAGACGTTGAATAAATGCTGGTTTAAAAACAACTCTGCTTGATGACCTGGTAAAATTCACTGACTTCTGCAGCATTTTAAAATATTTAGAGTCAACCCATGAGATAAGGCATTCCAGAAGATTCTCCCTCACTGTGTAAAATACTGCTTGTTTCTTTGAACATAAAATGACTCCTTCAATGTCTTCAGCCTCTTCCTCCCTCACTCCAATTTGGTGATTAGTTCTTACATTTTGAGTGGTTTCTTTTTGTTTTTAGGTTTGGGCTTTTTTTTTTTTTTTAAAAAAAACTTATAAGGTCCTGTTTTTCCAACGGCTATAAGATAGAAACTTAGGGGTCCTGTTTTCCTTCAAGTAAAGCTTTGCCCCTGAACACATTCGTTGGAGACAGTCCATGTAGGAGGAGTGAGATGCAAGGCACAGGGGTCTCTAACCACGCCCCACCCAGGCCAGCTTTGCTGCACCAAAAGAGAGACAGCCACCAGGTCAGTGAGGGAGATGACTGTTTAGGATTTCTTCACCCCCATCAAATTATGTGTGACTAGAAGGAGGTTTGTCTGACATCTCTATTCAGACGAGGTCAAGAACACTCAGCAGGGGTTGTTGTGGACATTGAGAATGTTCTCACAGGATCCTGAGGAGGCTTGTAGTAAGAGATGTTTCTCAGCAACCCAGGGCCACCTACAAGGGTTGGTAAGTAATCTGAGAGGAAATCAGGATCAGGATTCCCCATATTTTCAGGATTCCCCATATTTTCAAGCTGCTCAGGATCAGGATTCCCCATATTTTCAACAACCAAGAAAGGATGATTTATCTGTAAGAAATCTTTGGTAGCTTTGGTGGAACAAGAGCGTGAAAAAAAAAAAAAAAAACTTCAATGGAGATGAGGCAAGAATTTATGCAAAGAAATACCTGAAATCAAAGTACTCTAGCCAATAAAAATTGCAATTTTCAAGTTCACGTGGGAAGCATTCCTTCCAGCAGCCCTGCCCTGCCCATCCCTCCTCCCACCATTAGAAACATACCCATGAGCCCCCACCTTTGGGAAACCACAAAAGGCTCCTCTCCTGAGACATTTATTAGGTTGATTGGTGCAAAAGCGATTGTGGTTTTTGGTATTAAAAGTAATGGCAAAAACCGCAGTTACTTTTGCACCCATCTATAGTTCTGTTCCATCTACGTGGACCATAATTTTTGCCTGGTATGAACATCTCTGTGGTCAGCATTCTTTAAATTTGATGCTTCCCAGCCTTTTCCACACAGGTGCCATTGCTCTGGCAGCATTTTGAGAAGTTCCCAAGAAGCCACTCAAAGCTGAGGCCAGCTGCTCACCCTGATCACCCCAAGTACTGATGAGATAAATATCTCAAAGTCCATCATAACCCATTTCAACAGAACGCCAGTTGGAAAGCTCTCCCTAGCTACCTGTCTTTACAAATTTCCACCTGAAGAATGTGGGTTAGGAGAAGTGAGATTCTAGAGGAAACCCACAGAATCAGTAGGAGAAAGGATTGAGGTGCAAGAGAAAGGGGATCCCCCGTTCCTTCGACAGCACTGACACCACTAACAATGTTAATCGAGTAAGAATATGCATAGGCTTTAGGCTGATTGTTTTACAGGACTTATAACAATTTTCATAACAACTATACCTGGAAGGTACTGTCATTATCCCCATTATAGAAGGGAGGAAGCTGAAGCTTAGAAAGTTTAGGTAGACGGATTGCCAAAGTGATACACATATCAGATGATCTTGGTATTTGAAGCCCATAAGCTTATGTTCTTAACTAATTGACCAGTCTACTTCATAAACAAGAAAGGGAACATGCAGGGGTGGAAGTGGGGTGTGGTGTAGATGAAATTTTCTTACCTTGATCTAGGAACTGACTTGGTTCCAGGCCAGCTATTGGGATGAGGAGCTGAAAAATTCAACGGCGGGAGGAGTCTTGCCCTCCACAGGTAACTTCTGCCTAGCTTTTGTCTTCTTTGAATTGAGGAATGCCTCTAGTGATCTTCCCCTGAAGCTCATTTTGCAGAGGTTTGGGAGGCTACATAGTCCTGAGAAGGATAGAAATAAATGAGAGGTTGGGGACAGTCATATCCAAAATGCAAGGTTGCATTTTCTTCTTAGTAAGTGCAGAGAGCACAAATCCAAGCACACCTCTACGGGAAAGCACAAACACCAGATGCTTCTGCCTTAGCTCCAGGTAGCTAAGCTGCATCCCCCTCACTCTAACCTCTCTAGCAAGCTTCCCGTTTTCCATCCTTCAAAGTAGACACAGGAGCCTTATCTCCTCTCTCACTGAATGTCAGACTTCAAATGAACACTACTCAGCAACGCTTGTTCTCCCCAGCCTGAGTCAGGATTTTCAAGGAATTCACCAGGTTTTCTAAATGAAAATTTTCTGACAAGGGCACAGAGAATACTTTCTAACCAGCAGCACCTGACGAGGTCAGGCATTGGAAGTCCCACATTCTTCAGCTCCTTCCTGCATCAGACATACAAATTCAGGACACAGGCCTGGTTTCAAGTGCCAAACTCATAGTTTATCAGCCTCTTGTGGGTAGCAAAGACTGAAGGTCTGTGTGAATCAGACCAGTGCAATCTCCCCAGGCTGCTGCCTGAGCAGACTTAGAGGACAAGGCCAGCTTACAGTTCTTGTCTCCAAGAAAAACCCTTTTTATGATTCTAGCAACCTCCCCAACCAGTGAAATTGTGTATGTGGTTGAGAATAGTGTGACTCCTTGTTCCTCATTATCAGTGCATGAGGTAACTCTTGGTATTATTTCTGCTTATTGATCTTATATAAGATTATATCAAGAGGTCTGAAGTCCTGTGATATGCTTGGCTGCCTCTGTGATCCTCACCAAACTGGCTCAGAATCCAGGAGTCACTCAATGCCCATTCCTACAAAGGGCACAAGCACAGGGGCAACAGCATGTAGTTAAATTGTGTGTGCATTCAAAAATTTACTTACCTCCCTCCACTGAGTGGGCACACAGACCATTTTAGGCTTTAGAGACCTCTCAAGATCATGCCCCAGTGTTGCTCTCAAGCAGTATAGCATCCTGGGTTGTTTCGAAAGATATTAACAGCTGTCTCCCAGTACTCAAAGATCACACAGCTTTGTTCCATCTCCTCCAAGGGCTCATCAAGAGGCTTAAACTGAAACAGGAGGGATTTTAAGTTAGAACAGCTTTTAAGGAAGCCTTGTGAGACCTGATTTGAAAACGGCGAAGAGCTTCATCTCGTCCAGAGGCTCATAGGCATGTTCACTGACCATCCTTTGGAAGACTTTGAGAGCATCTTACATGGAGGAAGTGGTTGTATTGAGAGTTCACACAAGGAAAGCTCTGGACCGCCCATAAACTGTGGAGACCAGTGATAAATAAATACCAGGATGAAAGGCCAATCAGTGTCAGAAATTTCTGTGAGCTGAATTTCCCTGATGACAAGGAAGGGGCAGCCAGCTGGGGGCTCTGACTCCGAGATCCCTCACTCTGGGCTTGTACTCCTTCTGCAGAAAGTGCAAGAATGCAATTCCAGACTTTCCTCCTCCTTTGTCACCTTCTTTTTCTCCTACCTTTTGCTGGCAAAGCTATTCCCTGGAGAATTCTGAAGGTGTCCCCTGGCTGAGCCAAGCTGGCAAACACCCCAGCCAGAAAGCAGAGCTGTAGAAGAGATCAAAGACAGGTGATGTCATTTTTAGGACAGTCTGGGAATGTGTTTAAGGCCAGATGGTAGAAAGTGGAATATATCTACCTACACCAAAAAGGGGTAAGTTGCAAGATGTTAGGGTGGGCTTTTGTGTGTCTGCAGAAAAACAAGTAGAATGATAGGTCAGTAGTGAGGCCAGAGTTCCTGTGTCCACAGAGATCAGGAATTGTCTGCAGCAACAAGGCAAGAGCTTTCCTGAATTAGATGAGAAATGTTGCCCCATCTATTCTCAGCCAGAATTCAGAAAGTAAATTTATTTTCTGCTAACAAGAATTGTATAAGAAGGACTTTGGAGTAAGTCTGTCTTAGAAGGAAAATATTTAGAATTCAGTTCATGTCCCACTCTTGATGAAATATTCCCCAGCCCTTCAGGCTTCCCTGGGTCTCTCTAGGGGAAAAAAAGGAAGCCGGTTTTAGAGATTAGATCATAAACATAACTTTATTCTCATTCACTCACCACTCCCAATAGCCTAACAGCCTACAAGTCACTTATATTCTCAGATCCCAACTCATGAACACACCTGCACACACACACACACCCCCTACTTATTGACATGTCAATTACACATAATAATCATGTAATGGTATTTTTGGTGCTATGACCCCTTTGGCAGTCTGATGAAATCCACAAATCCCCTCAGAAAACTGTTTCGAAATACCTAAAATAAAATGCATAAGATTACAAAAGAAAATAATTATATTAAAATTCAGTTTTCAAAATGTTTTTAAGCCAATTTGGAATTTGGAAACACATGTGCCTTCTTATCAAATCTTCAAATGATAGCCAATGATGGATCTTACTGACATTGTCATGACTCTAAATGGTATTTTGATATATCTGCAAGAACTGTAAATAATATGAACATATCTGTGATTTCTATTAATAAAAGTATAAACGCTATTAATACTACCATGTATTGTCAGCTATATTAATAGTGGCAAAAATGGCACATTTTAGTTAGAAGTTAGTGAAAATAAAGATGTAATATTTTTTTCCTCATTCAAGTTCATGGATCCTCTGAATTCCACCATCCCCTGATACCTTGAAGATCCATGGATTTTAGGTTAACAATTACCCTGAATTACCTAGCATATGTACTTATAGATTATATACACATTCATTATATTCATTAACACTTATCACCAACAATTCACATACAACTTTCTAAATCGCACCTCAAAAATACCCAACCAACATACTCACTAGTATACACACAAAAAACACTCATATAACACTCGTGTGCTGGCAAATGTTTAGCAACCAGCTCTCCATAAATAAAAGACCCTGATTGGTAGAGTTTGCTAAGTTCCATAGCATAAAGACTCCTATGATGGCCAATTTCAAATTATGAGTACAATGTCAGCGAATGTACAGTTGGGAAGAGATGCACAGTAGTAGTAACACATCATTGCACAGTATTTCCACCACACAGACACAATTGATGTAAAAAAACCTCAAGACATGGATAAGAGAAAAATGTAAAATAATTAGCAAGGGGTGAATTTTAATGATTTATAACCTTTATTTTTATATAATTGTGAGTATATACAATTTAATTTTTAATAACAGCCAAGTTTAATCACCGTTTACAGAATCCCTAAATTTAACAAACAGCTCTCATGAGGCAGGAGAAGCCAGCTCCACATGCCACTGCGTATGCCTTTATATTCATACGCATACCAGAGCCTCAGGTTATGTTCTACATATACATCCAGTCACTCTCATATTCACCAATGTCCCTGAGCCCCCGTTCATGAAAATACACTCTGCTAACACCTTCACTCATGCACATAACCACAACACTAGGAGTATTGGTCTATCTTTTTTTTTTTTTAGAGACAGGGTCTTAGTCTGTTTGCCCTAGTGTGGAGTGCAGTGGTGTGATCATAGCTCATTGCTGTCTCTAACTGCTGGGCTCAAGCAATACTCTTCACTCAGCCTCCTGAGTAGCTAAGACTACAGGTGTGTGCTTGGCTAATTTTTACTTTTTTAATTTTTTTTTTTTAGAGTCAGGTTCTCCCTATGTTGCCTAGGCTGGTCTCAAACCACTAGACCCAAGTGATCCTCCCACCTTGGCCTTCCAGCATTGGGATTAGTCATGCTCCACTGTGCCTGGCCTCCGTCCATCATTACACACAAGCCTTCCGTGTATACCCTTGATATACACCACACATTGCTGCATTATACAAACAAATTCACAAACTCACAATTCAAAGACACCCTCAAACTCATCTAACCCCAAACTTATAAACAAAATTAACACCACAGTTACTACATTCTCACCACATACACACACGAGTTCATATAATCCTTACTCACTGAAACACACACACCAACACCCCATGCAAATACACAGCAAAATTTCTCAAACATTCAAATACACTCGAGCACTCGTGTAACACTCAAGGTACATTCTGCATGCACATATTCAAATGCCTGCACTTTTTCCACAGCCCCAATAAACACACACACAACCAATCTTACACAACCAACCATACGTATACACACACATACACGTTTCTTCACCTACACATTTATTATTCATATTGGCCCAATCATACAGATTCCCCAACATCCCCCTACATACAACCCACATATTCTTACACCCACGCCACCGCATAACCACACAAACACAGGAGTCACACCTGGCACCTCCTCCAGAGGGAAGGCCACCATTTGGCTCTGAGAGCACCTTCAGAGTGCAGAGATCAGGGCTGGCGGGGTGACCTCGGATGGGTGCATTAGGGAAGAGCAAGGTGGCAACTTGGTCAGAGAGCCCATTTCCTCTACAGAGCGCAATCTGTCATCGTCTTCTCTTTTGTCTTTTGATTTCTGATTCAGTGAACTTCAGACCCGATTACATCTATGCCAGTAAAAACAAGGAGACATGCTGGGCTGTGTGGGTTGGGTGGCAGAGAGAATCAAGAAAGTTGTTTGTCAAGTGCCACTGAAAACAAAGTTTGAGTCTAACAAAATTCACACATTGAAAGAAGAAAGAGTCCCACTCTCTCCCACAGGCTGGAGGTTTGGGAAGGCATATCATGCATCAGGAGTAAGAACGCATCAGAAGTGTTAGCTACTTTTTCAAATATCTGGGCCATTGGTCCCAGAAAGACACAAAGAAGAGGAGGGAAATCAGTGTGTGCTGGAGTTTTAGGGGAGGGGCCCTCGGAGTGGTCTTGGCAGTGGGAGTAGCCTGTTGTCCAGATGAGCTGGGGGCAGTGGAGTCAAAAAGGCACATGGGCCTCTACTCTGAGTACCTGGCCCCACAGGACCAACTCCCTCATGGGACAGTGAGGAATTCAAGGTGCAAACTCATAAATGGCTGGTCACTAAGATGAGGCTAGAATCAGGGTCTCTCTATCAGGATCTCTGTTTTTTAACAAGGAGTGTTTTTTTTCTCTTATCCTCAGAGCAGGAACTCTATAGATACTTGTTGCATTGACCTGATAAAGGCATCAAAAAGTTAGAAAGGAGGTCCCTTCCCAGGGAGTCCAGAGGGCAGAGCAATCCTGACCAGGGCCTGACTCAACTGCTCATGACACTGAGGCAGGAGGGGTTGGCCTTGCAGTCCTGACTCATCCCTATGGGGTCCAGCATCAATCCCTGGCTCCAACTTGGTCCATTCATTCCTTTAGCAGGATGGCCTGCCCCATCAAATGACCTACCCCTTCAGGGTTGGATGACAGGAAGAAAGAGTGTGAATTTAAGGATTGGCTGCACAGATTAGCTGAGTGACTTTAGACAATCCCAAACTTCTCTGAGTCAGAGATGCCTCAACTGGACACATAAATATTCTAAATGATATTTAAGTTTTGTTTTAGTCCGTTTGGGGTACTGCTATAACAAAGATACCATTGACTAAGGGGCTCAAACAACCAATATTTGCTTTTTTCTCAGTTTCAAAGGCTGGGAAGCACAAGATCAAAGCTCCAGCAGATTCCATCTGGTAAGAGCTTTCTTCCTGGTTTGAGGATCGTTGGCTTCCTGTTGTGTCTTCACACGGCGGAGAGCAGAGAGAGAGAAAGCTCTCTGGTGTCTCTTCTTATAAGAGCACTAATTCCATTCATGAGAACTCCACTCTCACTGCCCAAAGGTCCTACCTTTTAACATAATCACACCAGGGGTTAGGATCTCAGTCTATGGATGTTGGGGGATCACAAACATTCAATCAATGGCAAAATTTCTTCTAAGGTTCTGAGACACATTACTGAGTGATGAAGTAAAGTTAGAGTGGTTAGGAGCTACATTTTTTCTGTCTGTAAAATGGGAATAATAGGACCTATGTGTCTTAAATGTATTATAAAGACGAGATGTGATAATATAAGTGCCCAACACAGTGCTTGACCCAGTTAAGCCTTATAAATAGTGGTTATTGTTATGCCTTCAGAATTAACGAAGTAGAGGATTAGGATGGGAAACATATAAAAGAAGTAGGACATATAGT